CAAATTCGACATGCAAGAGCAGTAGAACCTGTGCAAGTCGATGCAATTCCTATGTCGGATCACTGAAGTGGCATAAACTATCATAAACTGACATCCCCAAAAAGAAAAACAAATATTCTGTGACAAAGCCTGGAAATTTGTTGGAATCTTTCGAGTGCAGTGGGCCTCTTCACTTTTCTCTTCCTCCTCCTTTTCACCCTGATCCTCTTCCTCGCTTCCATCCTTCTCTTCTTCACTTTCAACCTTCTTGTCACCGTTTTCATCCTGCGATTCATTGGATTCATCGTCATCCTTTTCCACATCTCCATCCACGTGCTCAGGCTCCTGGCCAAGGCGAACAGTGGTAGCATCAGAATCGCTCCCTCCATCAGCAACAGATTTGTCATGGGCGTTGGTCTTGTTGGCAATGGCCTTGGCTTCAACCACCTCCTCTGCCACTTGCACATGTGCACCAGTGCTGTTGCTGCTGCTGCTGCGAACCTTGCTAGCAACTGAAGGCAACGCAACTGAACTGCGTCCTCTGTTCAAAGCCATTTTGGTTCGAGGCTGCTTGTCAGGGTGTTCTTTCGGAAGCGATCCCGAGCGGGGCCTCTTGCTCTGGCTCTCTGTCTTCGGACGCTTGCTCACCTTGTCATCGATCACCTTGTTGTCTTTCTTAGACACCATTTGTTTGAGAGCATCAGCAGCTTTCACCTTTTTCTCAGTGTTTCCGGGGTCTTGGCTATTGTTTCGGGTCTTCTTTTCCTTCGTATCCTTCATCAGGTTCTTCTCATTTTTTTTCTCCTTGCTCTTGCTCTTTGTCTCCTTCGGCTCAGTCTCTGCATTCCTCACCTCCTTCTTTGAAGGATTCTTTGTTGCCTTCTGCATTGTCTGTCGCTCCTCCTTTGCTGGCAGCTTCTCCTCATGCTCCTTCTTTTGCTTTCCAGAATCCTTCTTTGCCTTCTTCTCTGTCAAACCTTCATCCTTCTTTGCCATGCCTCTGTCTCTCTTTGTTGCCTGTTCTTTTCCATTCTTTGCGTCCTCAGCTTGCTGCTTGCCAACGCTGTGGCCAAGTGCCAGCACTGCCAAAGCAGCACCAGCTTTGGCTTTCTGAGTGGGCACGGGACCCTTGATCTCCTTCGGCTTTCGGGTGGCATGCGCTTTGGGCACGGCTGGTTTGGACCCATCAGAATCCTCTGGATCGGACAGGGGCTCCTCAGAATCTAACTCATTCTCGGAAGATTCCTTTTCACAGCGAACCTTTCTTTTCAGTGGCCCACCTTTCTCTGTCTTGCTCTTGCAACGGGCATCCGCGGGATGATCACTGGCAGCAGATTTTCTCAAAGCTGACGGTCTCCCCCTTGCTTTGGGCTCCTGCTTTGACGCTGCAAATGCTTCCATTCTTTGCTTCTTGCTGTCCTCTTTCTGACCACTTTTTGCCTTCTCAGCTTTCGCCTTCAGCTCCTTTATCTCGTGTTCCTTCAAGTCTGGATTGTTCTCAGGTGTACTAAGGGCCCATGTCAAAGGCAATCTTTTCGAGGTATCCTTTTGACGACCATGTTTCTCCTCCAGGGTATGTTTGTGGGATGGCCCCAAGAAAATGCGACACACTGGGAGTTGAAAGAACAGCTTGGCAAGAAACATGACTTTAGCTGTCATGCTCAAGTTGGTCTGATTCAAATCTATCCCTTGTCCTGGGAGGAAGCATCAGAAGCTGGCGGTGAAGCTACAGCCTCAGCCCAATGGTGAAGGTGGAGATTTTTGTGGGGCTGCTGGCCCTTTTGCAAGTGATGGTAGATGGAATTCTGCAGTAACGTGCAACAGTACTAGAAATTTGGGCCCTAACCTTTCTACAGGGCGGGGTTTGCACAACATCAGGTTCTTTTGCAGCAAGGTCATCGAAGTCCTGCAACACTGGGCTTCTCAAAGTTGTAGCACATGTTTCACCATCCGCTGCAAGGTTGTCACATTTTTGTCACAAAGATTCATAAACATGACTCATCAGAAATTTGATGATCGGTCCTTCTGAAACCCGTGATCGGCAAGAATGCCAGCAAAAGAAGCCGAAGACATGGGGTCGGTCCACTAAATGTGGTCACTGACACTGCAAGGTTTGAGCTGTTGATGAAATGGTTAAGCAAGGAGAAGTCAGGCCAGCAGGAAATGCAGAGGTCAAAGTGCCATGACAACTAGAGAATGGGATGCCATGGTTTTGTTCCCAGTGTTAAAGACCCCACAGAACCCCATTATATATTTATTTCTGGAACCTGGCCTGTCTTCTCCTTCCTCTTGAGATCTGCCATCCTCTGCGTGTTGATGAATCGGCTTGTACCATGACAAATCACATACTCGTCAGCTGGGATCTCCACATCCATGTGAGCAACCTTGCATTGGACAGCATCAAATGGAAGCAAGAAAAATATTTATTTAATTTTATTTACCTTTAACTTATTTTAAAATATATTTTAAAATAAGTTAGTAATACTTGGTAAGGAAACGACAAAAAAAGGTCACCAAAGGATTAGGCACACAAAAATTTCAAGCTATTTACTACCCAATTCCATGTTGAGTAGCCAGAAAGAGTTTGTAGAGTTGGCCTGGGCAACAATGTTCGGTCTTTCCAGCTCGGTTTTTGGCAGCAACCAAGAGTAGCGTTGTTCCTGGTAAGCGCCCAGTCGCCTTGGCCTCTACATGGTAAATCTCCATGACGCTGTCAATTGTGGATGGTTCGTTTGGCCAGTTGACTTCCTGAACTGCCTGATGGGCAACTGGAGCAGGCGGAGGTGCCAATCCCGATGTTGCTGAAGAGTTTGCACCAAACCTTGCATTTTGAAGGGTTTCTTCTTCAACAAGAAAGTCTTGACCCTTCAAGCTCTTGATGATTTGGATATCTTTCTAATTCAGCCGGTATTCACATCAGGTTGTCAGAATGATCTCTTTCGCAATCAGGCATAGATATGATATGGATTTGAAGCTACACATAGAAGCACACCAAAATCTAATGAAGGCAAAAAACATGAGAGAATCATAAAACACCAGTGCAGGCTTGGCACCTCTCATCAAATTCCTGTAGAAGAGCTCGCCAATCTGCACCATACACGATGTCCCGTGCATACATGCTTCTCACATGTGAAGGCAAAGTGAACTTGTACCTCTCCCATCCCTTCTTGGTGTTGTTGACCTCACACACAACCAATTTGAACTCGTAGTCCTTCGGATCGACATTGTCTTCTTCACGTGCAGCTGGTGGTTCTGGTTGATAGGGACGGACATCACCCATGCAATGATTCCCTGCCTTCCAGCCCTGACGATCAGGGCAAGTGAGGCCAAACAATGAACCTGAATACAACGGATAAGACTTGAGACACATGAACACATCGTGAAAAATAACCTGGGGCCAAACAATGAAACTGAACATAGCCCAGAAAATTTGAGACGCATGAGCACATTGTAAATCATGATACATGCATAATAATGTTACTGTTTTTGAATCCAGGCCTGGAGAAGATGAAAACCAATCTTCTTCTCAACATACTCGATGATGCCAACAGAGCGGGAGACAGACAAGTAGTCGATCATCATGCCATTGTCCTCGTGCCACTTCATGAGGCAAGTCTCAAGACAACCATCGTAAGGGGTCACATTGACCAGCATGCCAGCAGTTGCAGTCAGTTTCCCAAGCACGCTGGTGAGGACAGCGTTCGGAAAGTCACTTCCAGCAAGGAGCTGCGCGGATTCCTGGACATCGCTCAGAGACCTCAATTTTTTGATGGAGCAGGAACCATCACAAGAATTACCAGCATCAAAAAATTATTACTTATCATCGAAATCTGACTGAAGAATAAATGGGAAAATAATGAGAACATAAATCAGATTGCACAAATTTCCACCTAGTTTGGGTTTCTCAAGGTTGGCACACCCAAGTCCTTTGGACGCCCCCCCCACCCCAAGGGGATGCTCACCCCAGATTTATGCAGATACCAAGTTTCTAATTGTACCCGCTATCCCACAGGCAACGGAAACTTGGAAAGACTTGAAATTCCATGCTTTTAAGAGCCAAGACTCCGCTGGCCCTCTGATGCATGAGGTAATGAGTCTTTCTCTGCAGCTGGCACGATGTACGAAGATTCAGAGGCCCATGGAACCGCCTGCCGTGTCGACCTGTGTCAAGAAGGGTTGCTTGGAAGTAAGTTGGAGACACCTCCTGTCAGCCTGTAAGTCTGTTTTTGTGATTTGAATAGACTAAGGCTTGAAGAAAAGATCGTCAAGTATTGGATTTATGAGGTTTGACATCAAAAAATCTAGTTTTCTGGCCTGTCTGTCATCAGCTGGCTCCCTTTGAAAATGTTCTCCTCAACGGCGCCCTCCAGCATCACAATCCACCCGAGCATTTGGAGGGGAACCTTCTTGCTGGCTGGTGGACACTCCATTCTGATCGTGATGAGCTGGTTCAACAATTGTCGAGAATCCAGTTTGTCCTCTATTCGCCTGCAGTGGGTGTGATTGCAACAGTGTCTTTTGGCATTGCATTCTTTGTTAGTAAATGATTCAGAATTGGCCCAAGATGTTCTATTGTCCAGGGCACCCCATTACTTTGAACAACTACACATAGCTGCACCACCAACAAAATAAAACAAAATAACATCGAAGGAAAAGGCAAAGAACCAGAACCCAAGAGAAGAAAAGCCTTGGCTCAGTTGAGCTGAAGGACCTAACTTCTCCGCGCTGCCCACCAGATACCTTCTCTGACACTAGGTGCGGCGCAATCAAGATTGCAACACCCTTGGTCGGGACTTTGGACAAAGCTTTGTGGATAATGCTGACCACAAAGTTCAAGTCGTTCACACCCAATCGACCAAACTTGGTCAGATCGGCCCAAACCACGAGCGCACCAGCTGTTGCTTTGCGTGCAGCCACAAACTGCAGGGTCAAGACATGGACTTGAGGGAGGCATTGTGAGAGGAACAGAAAACAGAACATTATTTTAAACCTGAGAGCTAACAGCTATAATACCCACATTGTTACCCTACACACTTGGCACTATGGTTTTCAAAGGTTTCATAGGTCCAGGCCTGTTCCACTGCATGGGTCAAGTCAGCTTCACTTCCACCCAAATGCTTTGCATGCTTCTCCATGTGGTTGGAAATGATGGATGCACCGATGACATTCTCGCTTCGAGCATGGGTTATGCGGCGAAGTCGTTCGGCTTTTTCGGTTTTCTGAACCTGCTGCATCATTTTGGCAATTGCAGCCACATCTCTTGCCAATGACAAGCTGTCGTGTTGCCATGCCTTCTGCTTTGCGTCCTTGCTCAAGGCGTCTAGCTTGTTGTCAGCTGCGTCCAAAGGAACTTCGTGAGAAGGATCTGCTTCCGATTCCTGAGGTGTAGAGGCATTGTCCTTCCACATGGTGGAATCAGCAGGTTTGAAGTTTCGATCTTTCGTCGTGAGCAAGTCCATGGCTTCTTCGGCAAAGTCCCTGAGTCGCAGCAGAATATTGGCTGAATAGGGGGAAAAAAACCAAGCTTCTTGACCCTACTGATTGCAAAACGGACATGTCCGTGAACACCAAATAAAACAGTGGCCAAGAAAGCAGCCGCTGCTAACAGCTGAAAATTACTAAGAAATTTGACAGCAAGATACCCTTCCAAGATCCCCAGCTCGACTTTTTGGAGTATGTCCAGCGGGAATTCATTCTGTCCATCATTGTTCTTGGCAATAACCATGTGGTCATAGATGTAGACTTGAACACAAATCAAGTCAATCTGGGATACCCACTGCTCCGGGGTGAGTCTGGTGACACATGCTCGACCTGCCCGACGTGTCTGCACGTCATGGAGGTGAAACAGCCTTTGGAGAAACATGCTCTGCTTGCTTGGCGTCATCTTCAAAATGGAATGCCATAGAGGGCACAGGTTGGTGACTTTCGGCAGGCCGTCCAACAGCCATCTGTTGTCCATCAGAAACTCCCGGCTGAAGGCTGACAGGGTCGAACAAGAACAACAGTAAGAGCAGCTGAATAAGCCAATGCTTGTATCCAACAGATTTGCAGCAACAACCAACTTTAAACAGCTCGGGAAACCAGGTTTCAATCAAGTTGGAAAAGTTTCCCCATAATGCAGCTGACGCGACTTGACATGTCCTAGCACACCCAAACCCAGCCCGAAACCCTTTGATTTCAACTTTCACCAGATTTAGCCTGAGCTTTGGAATGCGTACTTGTGCAAGTGACGTTCAAGAAGGGACCATGATTTGCTGCAGACTCCGACCTTGCAGGCAAGCGGACTTCTGGGTTGTGCTCTATGGAAACTTTGATGAGTCGACAGGCAGGAACTAACTGGACGAACCAGAATTGTTACAAAACAATTTACTATTATTTCTGAAAAAAGGTGGAAACTTTTGGAAACACAATCATTGCCGAGGGACTTTAAGCCCATACAGCTCGAGTGCTTCATTTTCATCAACTTGGAGTTTGCTGCTTGTAGCGGCAAAACCATAGCTGTTGTATTCCGCCACTCCATCCATATAGGCCTCCTTGTAGCCAGATGCTCCATTGTATTTGTGGGCCTCCTGCAACCCGAAAGACTTCAAGCAGCACACGCATCTGAACTCAAACACATTGGTGTGAAAACATTTTGAAATTGTTTCTTGGGAACAGGCCTCCAAAAGCTTGGCTTGGGCTCTTTGATGAAAGATGTTCGCCTTCTGAAATGGGTTCTTTCTCTGACGTTCACTCTGCTGTTCATGCACTTGAAGCCGCCGCCAAGAGATGTGGCTCTCATGTTCGTGCTTCATCACCACGCAGTGAATCTTGATGCAGGTCACCAGCCACCTGCTCGTGAGGCAAGGGAGACCCGTACATGTTGGGGCCACCAAGACAATGGTTTGGACACATTCAAAAGGACGATGGTTTCGCCCGGACCATCACCCCCTGTCATTTGTTTGTCAAGAGATACCCTGGCAGAATATCAGTATGATACGATGGCATAATATCATTTATTATGCTGTGATATTATGGCATAATATAGTGTGATATTATGGCATAATATATTGTGATACTATGGCATAATATCCGTTGTCATTTGTTGGGATGTACGATCTGGCAGATTATTTTCTGGCAAGTTGCAACAATTTTTTCAAGTTTTCCAGTGATCCGAGAATGTCTTGTGGATATTCTGCTGTCACCCCCTGGGTGTTCAAAAAAACAAATTTCAAAGGACGATGGTCCCATCCGGACCATCACCCCCTGGAGCCCTGAAAACCATGGGTAAGATTCTGCCATAATATCCCAGAACCTGATTCTAATGACAAATTGCTGTGTGATATTCCTCTGGGCTATGGGGATACCAGGTTTGAGGATTGCAGAACTGTAAAATACCTCGCTGTGGTAACTTGTCGGCTTGTCAGGGGACGACGTTCCCGACCGGACCATCACCCTTTGGAATTTTGTTTTTAGGATCCCCAAAGGACGATGCCAGATTGTCTTGGCTGCCCATTTTAGAGGTTGCATAAGGTCCTAAACACATTTTGTAAGCCTGCAGATATCTGCGATATTCTGCGGTAAAAGGTGCATATGTCTGCGATATTCTGCGGTAAAAGGTTTTGAAACCAATATTGCATGGAAAATTTCAGTTTCTGATTGAAGCCCAAGTGTACTCAGTTCTGTCACTGATGAATCCGTTGCGCTGCCAGTATGGTTCCACTGGAGGGAGCTTAGTAGCCCATTGATGATTCACCAAAAATTTGGGTGTGGACAGCAATACCTTTTCGGCATCAAATTTTATGAGATATAAACTAGGGACAAGATGTTCACTGCTTGCCCTTTGTCCAGCCTTCGGAGATCAGCAAGCTCGCCTCTGGAGAGGGCATCCTTCAACTCATAGTATGTGAAAAGGATGGCGAAGAAAACAACGCTCAATCTGCCGAAACCTTTCGTCACGGTGGCAATAGCCAATCCATTCCTGGATCCATTCGCCTTGCAGGGTTCATATGGCATTCTCTTGAAAATTTGTTGAAGAAAAGTGATAAACAAGCTTGGTCTTGATGCTAACCAAGTCTGTGCTATTAATTCTTCAAAGTGTGGAACCAGTAAAAAGATGAGAGCAGGGAATATGAATGTGCGGTGAGGAGAATTCCATTGATTTTAATTATACCCCCCTAAAAGTAGATGGAACAACTCCAAAACCAAAATACCCATAAGATGGCACCGTGCGGTGAGAAAGAAAACGGCGCTATTTTAGCTGGAACATAAAACGAATTCCGCCAATTGAAAAAAAATCACCATACTTTAAAATGAGAAGGTAGATGGCGCAACTCGTTTTGAACCTATTTGAGCCCGAAACCGACCCAAAATTCAACCTCAACGGAGCCATGCTTCCGTTGGGGTTGAAATTTTAGGTCCAAAAGCCGCCAACAGAGCCCAACATAGCCCTAAAATGGCCCAACAGAGGCCCAACATAGCCTGCAAATGGCCCAACATAAGCCCAAAACCGACCCAAAATCCAACCTCAACGGAACCATGCTTCCGTTGGGGTTGAAATTTTAGGTCCGAAAGCCGCCAACAGAGTCCAACATAGCCCTAAAATGGCCCAACAGAGGCCCAACATAGCCTCCAAATGGCCCAACATAAGCCCAAAACCGACCCAAAAAAAAAAAACAACCGAAAAATTTTCGGTTGGTTTTTTTTTTTCGGCCCGAAAGCCGCCAGCAAAGCCCCAAATGACCCAACAAAGGCCCAACATAGCCCTAAAATGGCCCAACAGAGGCCCAACATAGCCTGCAAATGGCCCAACATAAGCCCAAAACCGACCCAAAATTCAACCTCAACGGAACCATGCTTCCGTTGGGGTTGAAATTTTAGGCCCGAAAGCCGCCAAGAGGGCCAACAGAGCCCCAAGTGGCCCAACATAGCCTTCTATGTTGAGCCTATGTTGAGCCCATGTTTGGCCAAAAAACGTGTTCATTTAACGCCCTAAATCAGCGCCCAAAAGAACACGCTGTTTTGGGGTCATGTCCGGGCCAGATATGAGGGAGGTGCGCCATCTATGTGGGCATTCCCAGCCAGATTTTGGCGAATGAGTGGGAGTTGAGCCATCTATGTCCCAAAAAAGCAGCTTGATTCGATGTTGAAGCAACTTTTTTTTGACATAGATGGCGCAACTCAAGATTCTGAGCTATCTACTCTTGGGGGGAGTATTACCGACTGGCTTTTAAGAAGACAATGCTTGTTTTTTTGTTGGACACGACCTCTACCTTCACCTCAATCGGTTCTCTCGTGCTTTCGAAGCCGCCCTTCAAAATCGACTCTGCAGTGCCAATCCAGCTCTGCATGTGCGGGAGCCCATCTGAAGGCATCGCATACCACAGGCAAAGGACTGGTAAGACACATGTCGCCCTGTGCTCATCCTGAAGCATGACTGATGGTGTCCAAACTTTAAAAGACTTAGCGACTGACCAGTTGGAAACCCATACTTGTTGTTTTCAGCTGGTATCATGAGTGATCATGTGGAAGATTTCTTGCCAAGCTTCGGGAAGTGTCATCGACTGCGGGTTTGGCATGGCAGTGTCAGGGGTGTTCAAGATGTCTTGGTTCAACCAATTCAGAATTGGCTCGTAGATCCCATCTGAGAGCTTTTCCATCACGTACTTCACAGGGTGCTCGTCCCCCTCTAGGTTGAATGCCCTCAGGGAGACTAGCTGACGGCAGAGCTATATAACATACTACATGTTTGGCAAGGTTTTGGAAAGGACGATGCTTCAGCGATATGATTTTGACAGTCTTGAAGACGGTGTCACTGCCGAGATCAGCCAAGTAACAAAGCAGCTTGCAAAATCTTATTGGCCCATGGGCATGAGCGAGCAAACTTGGCATCACCATCTTCCAAATTGCCATTGGCTGAGGATCTCTTTGGCATCTTGCGACTGTTTCGCAAGACAAAAAAACGAAACTTCGAGCTGGAGGCAAGGCAATGATGGAATGTTTCAAATTTGGGCTTGTCACCAACAACCAATCTCATCATAGTTGCCATGCACTCGTTTCTGAATCCAAATATGTCCAACGATGCGAAGCATTCAGTCAGCTTTCTGATGTTCTTTGCCGCCTTCCGACCATGGTTGGACTTAATTGAATGTGAATTAAAGCTACAGAGCTTGCCCCTGCAGCAACAATGAAAAAACTAGGCCAAGCGTGGCTCCAAAGCACAAGCGGCAGCAAGCAAGACATATCCAAAGCATGGAATTGATAAGCTGTTTCCAGCCATCGCTGCAACAGACTTGGGACTGATGCCCTTCAAATCCAATTTGGGAGCACCAGCAGCCTTTGACTGCATCCGGGTACATGGAATTGTGTGTGCCGCCATCATCTCCGTTGGTTTCAGGAAACGGCCAAGCTCCTCATATGAATCTGTATTTGAAGCAGCAATCCTTACATTCAATCCCCAGTGACGCCAAACAAACTCATTTCCATTTTGTCAAGCTGCATCTTACTCAGCGGATGATTCCACATTTTTTAAAAAATGATGGGCTTCAACAGGATTATTTTGGATACTTAGGGGCATGAGTCTGAGTGGCATCAGTGGCATCAGACCCGGAAACCAAAGCAGCCAGGTCAAAAACCAAAAGCACGCTGCTAAAAGCCCAGTCCTCGGAATAAATTTTTGATGAATTGGTCGTCAAAGTCATCAAAGATCCGTCAGCGAGTTCTCCCCTTCCACGGCCATTCCGTGCA